ATATATATATAAGAAAGTATATAAACAAATGATATTTAGACGTTTTTAAAAAAATTCAAGAAGAAATCTAAGATATAAATTCACTACTTCTCTATTAAGTAAATTTCTATTAAACAGGCTGCTAAAATAAAATAAAAACAATTAAATGGATGCTATTGTTTTATTAATCAATACAAATCAGCAGCTGAAAGGATGAAGTATTACTTTACAAGAAATAATCAGAAAGCACATCAACATCAGGTCTGGATACAAGCATGAGACTATATCTAGATGCTGAAGTTTCGAGTGTAACATTATTATTTTTCGTTTAAAGGGGGAAGGTGAGTTGGATAAACTCATATAATTGAAATACTAACATTCATTTTCTTTGGGCAAAAAATGCATAAGAAAATGGTAAAAACCCTAGTTCATTACTTTATTTGTTTGTTTCCTTCTACCAGGTAAACACCTCTCTTCTTTTTTTTTCCCTTTTCCATTTGATCATCTGGTGCTTGGGTAGAGGTCAAATTAGCATGACCTTTTCAGAAATTCCTTGTCCATGGGTATAAGAAATGAAAGATAAGTCATAAGTCCCACTTTGATTCGTGAGTGCTGATAGGCATGGCGAGCCCTCAACGTGTAGACAGCCCTACTTTAAAGAATCGTTACTACAATTAATATTATTATTTTTTCTCCTCTTTATATATTCTATTCTATCATAAGCACTGAAAAGAACGATCCTCACCCTTTTCTACACCTTGCAGTTATACATAAAAGTGTGGCTTCGTATTTATATAGATGACCTTGCCGCCAATAATAGATTTCCGCCTTATTACCATGTGTTGTTTGTCATCATTCTTACGTCACTTTGTGTATTTTATGTTTTAGAGACATCGAATTTGGCAGATACAGAAACAAGAAGTCATGCATAAAAACATATATGAGAGAGAGACTTTCAAATAGACATTTTTATTGGATCGCCATATATTTATCCCCAGAAACTTCGTTCGGTTCACTTTACGCGCGCTTACACCCTGCCGCGTCTCTTGATTATTTCTGTGGTTTCTTAGTCTGAGAAGCGAGAGCGAGAAAGGATTTCGCGTCGGCGGGAGTTTCGGGTGCGTTCATTCCGAACAGCGCCCGAGATCCGCGAGCGACGAGGCGCATTACGGCTCTTAACGCCCCCGCGGATCGCCTCCTCACGGCTTCGCCTGCGGGTTTCCACAACCCGGCGTGTTGGCCTGCCCCGGCGCGTTTGTCGATCCCGGCGGATTGGTCCGCCCCGTCGGCGGGAGGGGGCTTTCGCGTCGGCGCGGGGCCGATTGGACGCCTTCTCCTTCTCTTTTCCCCCCGCAGTGCGGCGGCGGCGGCGGCGAAGATCCTTGTCGATCCCCTGCTCCTTGATGATCTCCGAGAGAGGCCGGTCGATGATTTCCATTCGTAATGACGTGAAGTAGTGTCAAATAGGTCTGTGGTTGTTGTTGCTGAGGTGGTAGTTGTCACGTGTGTAACTCTAAGAGGTTTGATGATTGGCCAAACCAGGAAAAAAATATATAAGAAACAATCAATATGGTGCGAAAATCAGAATAATAAAAATTAAGATCTCAATACGGAAACGCGGAAGGTAATGGGGATGATGAAAAATTTAAGGACACCCTTTTTTGTGTGTGGGGGTATTTTTAGGATTCTTCAATAAACTGACAGAAATCTTTCAACTTGCCGGTTAATACACCACCTTTCTTCATTTTTTTCGCATTGAACGGATCCCCAAAGGCTTTCCACTCCAGTTGGCCGCTCTCCCCACCACAGCCAGTGGCGCGGATAACAATCCCATCAATGCCACCGTCGTCAAGAGCGGTAAACCCTGTCAAGCATTTCTTAACACTTCCCAAAAGGCAAGGTATTTCTTCTAGTGAATATTCAATCAGACCTTCTTTTTCAGACACTCCTGAAAAGTCATACGGACGAGCTGAACTGTTTCCCTTTTCTGGTGTTACACCAGACGATTTTATCATTTTATTCCTCTTCGGCTTTACAAGGAAAAGAATAGAGCACCATGGTTCACCAGCTTGCTCGACATTTATAGTATCTGGTAGGATGAACAAAACCATACCTTGTACATCACACCGATCATTCTTAGAATGAGAGGCTCGCTCAACGACTTTCACAACATCCATACACCACGATAAGTGCACGAGGCACCTAAGAAATTCGAAGGAGAGTTTCTGCGCAAAGCTAACACGATGCTTCGGATCCATAGAGGTAGCTGAATGACTACTTGTAAAGTCTGATTTCCCTTCCTGAGAAAGGGGTATATCGATTGGACTTTCATAACTTTTCAAACACATTGGAAAAAAAAGAGGAATCAGGGTGTCAGTTATAATGAATTCTAAGTTCATTGCCGCACGTAGCTTTTCTTGGGATGAATTTTGAGAAGATTTTTGCTGTTTGCCAAAGAAGTTCGCTGTGTGTTTAAAAATATTTTCCGCCTGAGGTGCGGAAATCCCTGCAAACCAACAGCCGCCGTTTAGAGAAGTAGGAAAGGCATTAATGCAGCGAAGGGAGATGAACGGCTCGCCTTTGCAAAATAACGTATTTTTACAGCCTTCCACACTTCCCTTTGCCTCTGTCTTAACGCGCTTACGCTCAGAAGTGGCGCTGAAATCGACTGAGGAGCCATCCACATTTTTTTCTATCCCATTAGTCCTCACTTCCATCCCTGTGTTAAACACAAAATGGTGATCGGAGAAGTTGACGATGCTGTTTGTAGTTGTGGTGTTACCAGTGTTATTACGAGGTCGAATGGAGAAGTGTATGTCATGATAAAACGCATTTCTGTTTAAAAGGCTGCTGCTTTTTTCAGAGTAAATATAACACGGGCGATATTGATGAATCTGGAAGGAGGCTACTGGACTGCGGCCAGGGAGCTGCAGGATTAAAAGTGCCTGCGCGAGGGTATGAAGAATCAACTGTCCGTTATTATTAGATATATTAAAGAGAGGGTCTGAGGTTTCACTATCTAGTCCTTGCTCTTTGTTTATCTTATTGCTCGTAAAGTTCGACACCAATGTGGAAGGCGGCGATTTAGCTGATGCGGGATTTAGATGTGTTGGGTTAATGTTGGAAGGCGTAAAAGTGTTATCTTCCATGCGATTATGGAGGAGGTTTTTCTCTTCAGGTTGAATTTTTTTGTTTGAAAAGTGGTGGGCGGACCAATACGGTGGGATACCGAAATCCTGCTCGAAGGCGAGAAGAATAGTGCGTAAGTCTTCTGAAAAATTCGTTTGAGTCGGTGGTGGAGTTGGAAAGAGGGAGTACCCTGATAAATCTACGGTTTCAGTACTCATGAACGGTCTCTCAACATAATCATTCAGGGTTTCAGGATGCGTTGAAGTTTTTATTACTTTAGATGAATCCGTATGTGGATGAATCTTTGTATGATTTAGATCACTCATCATTCCCCCTGTTTTATTTGCTCCTTCTTCCAACTGATTAGGGTCTTTCTTATTATTACCACCTTCCGGTGTAAATAATGCTTCGTAGATAAAGGCGGGTAGTGGTGTGGTGAAGCGTGCGGAAGAAACCGCACGACCTAGAATGGTTTGAGAGCTAATACAAGCATAGGGGTGAACCTGATCCCCAATTAAATTTAATGCCTCACAGTGAGAGGATAAACACACGTAAGGACCGCCGCTGAGCTTTTGTGATGCAGAAGATGGACCTGACTGCATGATGCATTTTTTTCTACACCAACTAAGTATTTTCTTATTTTAACAATTTCTTACACTTCCTTTTATTGTTTGCTTATCTAAGCATATTTACGCTAACCATAACACTTGAACAATGGAAAAATGAAAAATGATAAACATATATCACATTACGCATCATAAGTAAAGTTGTAAGAAAGAGTAGCTATAAGTCTTGCAATTGCTAAATATGTATGGAAGACACTCATTATATATATATATATATATATCTATACATATATATATATAGATAATAGATAAGCATATTAGTGTAATTTGTTTCCAACAGGGACCATAACCTAATACTTTTTTGTTTTCAATAAACCAAGTAACTCCTTAAAATATTCTTTGAAGTTCAAAAATGAAGGAAGGTAATAATGCTAAGTTCATTTCTTATTCTTCCCAAACATTATTACCCTCCTCAAGTTCATTTTCAAGACCGTTATTCATTTTATCAATACAAGTTTCAACTGCACTTCTCGCTTGTGGTGCTATGATTACCCCACAATCCACAAGGGAGTTGCGCGTAGAATCGTTAACATCAATTGAGGTCTCAAGAACCTCTTTAATAAGCTCGCGAAGGGTTTTGAGTGCGGCATTATTGCGTTTATCGTTTGGATTTTTATAGCGCCGCCAAACACAGTCATGAAGGGCGTGACGTAAATCACGGAGAACATTGAAAGTAGATTTATCAACGCACACGAAGATCCATCCGTCAATAACGCACATATTTAGGTCATCAAAGTATTGCGTATTCGCGTCCGACATCCCAAAAAGCAGAAGCGACCACATGCTAATGGATGAGATATTTGTGAGAAAGGTCTTATTTGCTTCGCGAACGGCAAATATTTCCTGATAGACGTAAAACATCATAGGGCCAGTGGGATTATCCATGGTAGGAGTCTGCGCTTGAGTGGTAACATTCTTCATAAGCTCCTCTCGGCTTTGAACGCCATGCTCTCGCGGAGCTCTGAGGTGATAGCAAACACTATCCGTTGCCGGATATATCATGTAATGCGCTTTAGTACGTAGCTTTAGCTTTCCCGATGAATTTCGAGGGCTATCGTTATTGATATCGAACATTGGAGGCGGATCAAAGGCGGCGAGGTTTGGAAAGAAGGCTGCGCAAAGGCAGGCCTTCACCAGTGCCACATTTCGAGCCCATCGGGAAAGAACACTAGTGTCAACGAAAAGCCACCCATTGTAAGTGGAAAAATCCGGTGCCATTGTGAGGTTATCTGTATCAAATTCATTATTTTCCGTAGATTTTATGCCCGTCTGCTGTGATTTTAACGCCAACGGGAGCTGATCGTTTTGGTTAATCATTCCGGAGCGTCGAAGAATATCGCAGTACTGCAGTTTACACTTCGAGATTAGCTCCAGGTTACCGATATGAAGATAGTTATAATGAGCAAAATTGGCATCCTCGCCTGCCGCGCAGAACCCGTTATAGGCATTCAGAAAGCTTAGATGATCGCTTTGGGAGCCTCGCGAAAAGAACCGACGTCGTTTACGTGCCTCTACAGCGATCTCACGATTTAATAGAAACGGACAGACATCCGCGCACGCGGCAAGGGTGAGGACCGAATCCAAGCAATGCAGCACCGCCCCCATCATCACCATTTTCCCTATCCTCGGATCGCACGGCAGCTTGGAGAGGTAGAACCCCAACGATGTGAGCCGCCCGTCGGATGTGATTGCGTCGAGGTTCTTGAGAAGCGCCATGGAGGCGTCGACGTGGGTTGGCGACGGGGGCTCCAGGAAGGTCGCCAGCGTTACCTCCGGTGCGCGGTACCCCAGCGCGAGGAGCCGGAGCACAGGTTGGGTGAGCGGGACGCGGTGGATCTCGGCCTCCGCGAAGGCCGGCAGGGACTTCCACGTCTGCTGTGTCAGGAGGCGGTAGCAGATCCCCCCCTGCGTGCGTCCGGCCCGTCCCCGCCGCTGTGTCGCGTTGGCCCGGCTCACGTAGCCCAGGTTGAGCTGCGTCGCCGAGTGGG